ATGAATTAAAGACTAAAAAAGATAGATAACACAAACAAAACTCTAAATAAATAGCACTCACACAGTGAATCAGCTAGAGTACAGGCTAGGATACTATAACAAAAGGGAATGAAATGTTAGTGTTCCAAGAAGTCATTTGGGGATCATTCAGGGAACAGCTTCCTTCCATTCTGTGGCTGCCATCTGCTTAGCCATTGTCTTTAGGTAGTCAGCCACATTTCCAGCTAAAACTTGGAGTTTCTATTATTTTGTTGTTGTTGCTACTGCTGTTGCTGCTATTGTTGTTTTGAGACAGAATCTCGCTCTGTTGCCCAGGCTGGAGTTCAATGGCACCATCTCTGCTCACTGCAAACTCCACCTCATGGATTCTTGCGATTCTCATGCTTCAGCCTCCCAAGTAGCCAGGACTACAGGCATGAGCCACTGTGGCCAGCCTGGGGTTTCTATTATTAAAACAAAGATAGGAAAATTTGATACTGTGTACAATAAAGAATTTGGGGCTGGGCATGGTGGCTCATGCTTGTAATCCCAGTACTTTGGAAGGCCAAGGCCGGTAGATCACTTGAGGTCAGGAGTTCAAGACCAGCCTGGCCAACATGGTAAAACCCTATCTCTATTACAACATAAAAATTAGCTGGTGTGGTGCTGGGCACCTGCAATCCCAGCTGCTCAGGAGGCTGAGGCAGGAGAATTGCTTAAACCCAGGAGGTGGAGGTTACAGTGAGCTGGGATCAGGTCACTGCACTCCAGCTGGGCACCGGAGCGAGACTTCATCTCAAAATAAAACAAAAAAGAATTTGGGCCTCAAACACTAAAAAAGTGAATTAAAATGTCATCTATATACTTTATCTGTTCTAAAAAATAGTTGAATTTGAGCTAAGAGATGAGTAATAAAAAAAATCCCTCAGGATTATGATAAATATATATAGTACTCAAAGACTTTCTGCTAATCTGTATGTATTCCTCACCTCGGTCTAATAGTAAGCTGCTTGGTGATTCACCTAAAATTCTATAAACCCTCATTTTGAAGTTGAAAGTCAATATGTTAGGATAAATTTTTTATCTCTTAATCTGTTGTGGTAAAAAAAAAAAACAAGATGAACATTTAGAGATTTGCAAGTTTCTGTTATCTTTCTATGCACTACTGTACATTATTCATTCGCTGAATTTTGTAGACTTGGCAACCTAGCAATTAGCTTCACCCAGTTTCACCAGGTCCTGGACAAAATGAATTAGATGACAAAACTTATACAAGGCTGATCTGGGGCTCAGGTGCTCCCAATCAATTTGATGAATTATATACATATTTCAAATGCTAGGAAGACTTATATGTGTACAATCGTCAGTCTACATAAGAAAATAATTTAAAAGATACCCCATGAGTATGTGGAAAAGTGAATACTATGGACAGTGGCTAAGCCAGACAGAATGTGTGTTGTGGGCTTTTCATTATACATTGGGGGAGAGTTCCCCTGGCAGTATTGCTGGAAATAGATTTGGTGCCTGACTTTCTCTGCCAAATATATCTTTTCAGTACCCATGAAACCTCTTGGTTCCACAACACCCGAGATTCAAGAAATAATTAGTCCTTCTTATGTCACAGAAAGCCTCCAGAGGCTTGGAACCTCTTTTTAATATCTTGGGAGGATTGGTTCATTCTTAGCAACATAATGCCATATTTTAACCTTCTAATAACAAAAGAAACCAGGGAAGTAGTTCTTTTAAAAGAAAAAAAATTCATACAGCTTAGAACAAAGACATACATCTTTTTTTTATCCTTCCTCAAATGTATGTAGTTAGAATATAACATGGCAAGATTCCTAATGTATACTTTTTAAGAAACTCCCTTTGATTCTGAATGTTAATTGGGGATGCATGTTTTAAAAGTTTTCAGGTCAAGGATCAATCTGAATCTTAGTCAAAAGCACACAACTATTAGATATTATTTCCAGAGTCTTTTTGTGTTTCATAAAAACAAGGAGAAGGCAGGAGGCTTGCAAGGGAGTGACTGTCTCTCTGTAGTGCAGAATGGATAAGTGGACAGAGGCTGTTAGAGAGAAACTCGAAAGCTATTAGGAATTTGAATTCTCACAAGGAAGAGTGCTATCTAAGAAAATGAAAGATGAATACAAAACCAGCAACCTCAATCACTGGAATAACAATTTATAATTATCTTGATATACTTCAGGTCTGGGGGATGAGGGACAGCAGAGGATTTTGAAAATTCTGGCTGAGAAAATATTTTTGTTTTACAGATAGTTTTTAGCTTTTCAGGGCTCAGATCTAGAACGATTAATAAAGAACAGCCACCACTTTGATTAGAGAACTTTAGCAACAACATGCACAGATTCCCTTGACACAGACTGAATAAGTCCATTTCTTACTGAATTCAGGCCATTATTATTAGCTAAATACTGTCAAGATAAGATGTCTTATGTCCTGTGAGAATGAGCTTAGACCATTGCATGAGAGAAAACTATGTGTCAGTTACATGTTTGCACTCAACTTTTGGAGTCTCTATATTGTATACCACCAAGAGTCTCCACTCCTCTGATTCTACATGCTTTTCACATAGAACTAGAATTACCTTTACCTATTAGCACAGGAAGGCAAAAGGTTATAATAACCCAAGCCTGGGCTTTCAAGTCCGTTATCCTGGCTCCAGCATTTATAAACCATATGCCTCTGTGACCTCTCAGATCCTCTATCTTCACGTCTATAAAGCAGGGGTGATGGTGGTGATTCTATAAATAAATATTCACTGAGCACAGATCTGTGTCACCCTAGAGATATGACAGGCTACAAAACAGATATGCCTCCTACTGTTAAAATCTTATAATTTAGCCACTTATACTCATCAAATTGTATTTCTTCAGGAGTTTTCTCAAATGACACAATAGGCTGAAACGATTTAACAGAGTACCTGGCACATAATAATTGCTGAAAAGCATGCGACTTTAATGCTGTATCTTACTGTTTGATTTTTGTTTGCTGTTGATGTGAGCATCGTCATCATTGTTTTCTTCCCATTGCTAAAAAAAAGTTAGCTATTTATACAATGTGGTTTCAGAAGTCTCAAGGGGGCCCAGATACAAATAAAATACTCACTTCTGTGATATTAGATCTTAACAAAGTGCCCGGATCCAAGATTTTCTATGAGTTTGGACAATAACTTGTCCTGGAGAATAAGTGAGCTACATACATGATGGAAGGGTACATTCAACATAGAGCTTGGAGGAACCTGAAATTAACACGAAAGTTAAATGCTATTGGAGCTAGAAAACGTGTGTGAAAACATGAACAAAGTTTTATGTTATGATTTGAATCTGAAACTGCCAAAATTATTTCAAGCTTATTTTCAACAGCTGTGACTAGGAGATAGGAGCTAAGGTTGCTTCTGAATATGGGAAATCTTACTGAAGTTCTTATAAGTATTCAAAATAAAGACCTTGGTTTTGGGGTGGGGAAAAGATTAAACGACACTAAGTCCTTTTAAGTTGATTCTGTGTTTTTTGTTTTATTTTTGAGACGGAATCTCACTCTGTCACCGAGGCTGGAGTGCAGTACTGTGATCTGAGCTCATTCCAACTTCTGCCTCCTGGGTTCAAGTGATTCTCCTGCCTCAGCCTCCCGAGTAGCTGGGACTACAGGTGTGCTCCACCATGCCCAGCTAATTTTTTGTATTTTTAGTAGAGACAGGGTTTCACCATGTTAGCCAGGTTGGTCTTGATCTCCTAACCTTGTGATCTGCCCGTCTTGGCCTCCCAAAGTGCTGGGATTACAGATGTGAGCCACCATGCCTGGCCTCTGTCTGTGTTTTTTAAATGTAAGTGGAAAGATTATAAACTATCACTACTTCCCAATGTGGTCATATTCTAAGATTTTCCTCAGTTCTCTGAAATGGAGTTCATAAACTTACAATATAAATACCAAGTTTTATATTTAAAAGGTTACATTTCAGCTGAGTAAAATGGCAATAGGTGTGCCCCTTTTGTAACAATAAAGTGGTTTACATTGATTATTATCTCTTACTTGGAACCTTCTCTTAATTCTTTATTATCATTATTTATTTTTAGGGTTTTTTTTATTTAAAAATTGTATTTTTAGGGACAAAGTCTCACTCTGTCTTCCAAGCAAGAATGCAGTGGTACAATCCTAACTTACTATATCTTTGATCTTCTGGGTTCAAGCCATCCTCCTGCCTCAGCCTCCCAAGTAGATAGGACTATTGGCATGAGTCACCATGACTTGCTAACTTTTTAATTGTTTGTAGATATAGAGTCTTGTTATGTTCCCAGGCTGGTCTTGAACTCCTGGGCTCAAGCAATCCTCCCACCTCAACTTCCCAAAGTTCTGAGCCACCACACCTGGCTAGGTGTGTATGTTTTTCTTTACATTGACTGGCAGAAAAACACTACAGCGAAATTATCACCATCCTCATAGTCAAGGTTAAGCTTTTGAGAAATTTATTTTAAATATGATTAGTTGGACAACCAAAGCTTTTGCGTTCAGTTTACCACCTCAAGATTCCAGCTTCCCTATAAAAACACAGAAGTGATTTCTAAAAGAGGAATTGAACACAGAAGTATTTTCTCCCAGGGAATTGCTGGGCTTCCCTTTAATTAAAGCTGATTATTTTTTAAAGGAAGAATCATACTTCTGATTTTATTTTTTTTCTGCATCAAAGAAGGGATTTAAAATATTTGGATTCCTCAGAGGAAGCATAAGCAGAGAAGTAAACACAGGGTAAGTTTTATATCTCAGCCCCTTAGAGGCCTTTAGCAATGGCTGTGAATGAGTGGGTTTCAAGGCTGAAACTGCCTACTTATATTATTTGTAAGCAAGCTACCTGGCTAATGTTTGAGAAAGCTATGACTTGTTATTATCTGTTGATTTATCTTAATGCAACGGAATTAAGAATCGTCCAGTATTCAGACATTTCAAAGAAGAACCAACTGTTTTTAACAGATTTTTACAACAATTATTCAGCTCTAACATACCTGAGAAATGTGCATTCATACAGAACAGTGACTGATCACATGTTGATTCTCCATGGTGGGATTCCTGCCTTCCAGGGAGAATTGCCTCTGAAATTTAGGAAAGAGGAGATGAAGCAGAGCTTTGAAATGCACCTCAGAACCTTAGAGATTAGTGAAATGGGAGGAATATGCCACACTCTCAACATTCCCATGAAGTCAGCCCGGAGATTTTAGGTAAGAAATATGTCATATGATCCAGCAATCCTACTTCAGGGTATGTATTCAAAGGAAATAGCATCAGTATCTCAAAGAGATATGTATACTTTCAGGTTCATTGCAGCATTATTCACAATAGCCAAGATATGGAAACAACCTAAGTCAGTTGACAGATGAATGGATAAAGAAAATAGGTGTCTGTGTGTCTAGATTGTGTGTGTGTGTGTGTGTGTGTGTGTCTGTCTGTCTGTCTGTCTGTCTGTCTAAATACATGCATTGGACTATTATTCAGCCTTATAAAGGCCAGCAGTCCTACCATTTACAACATGGATGGACCTGGAAGATACTTTACTAAGTGAAACATGATACATACTGCATGATCTCTCTTACATGTGGCAGCTTTCAGAAAAAGTCAAACTGAAAGGAACAGAGAGTAGAATGGTGGTTACCAGCAGTTGGAGGATAGGGAAAAAAGCCAGATGGTCAAAGGACAATATCCTGCAGTTATAAGATGAATCAGTTCTGGAGAACTAATGTAAAGTATGGTTACTCTACATTAGAGTATAGTTAATTATACTGTATTGCTAATAGAGTAGATCTCAAGTGTTCTCAACACACACACACACACACACACACACACACACACACACATAGTAACTGTGAGGTAATGGATATATTAATTAAATTGATTGTAGTAATCATTTCACAATGCACACATATATCAAAACATCACATTGTGTACCCTGAATATATACAATTTTTACTTGTTAATTATCCCTACATAAAGCTAGAAAAAAATTACCAATACTCTCCAAGAATTGAGGTACAGATTTCCTAAGAGAAATCTGTTAATTCTGGCCAGGCGCGGTGGCTCAC